GTCTCAGGTTACAGTCGGGGTCTCAGGATACAGTCGGGGTCTCAGGATACAGTCGGGGTCTTAGGATACAGTCGGGGTCTCAGGATACAGTCGGGGTCTCAGGATACAGTCGGGGTCTCAGGATACAGTCGGGGTCTCAGGTTATAGTCGGGGTTTCAGGTTACAGTCGGGTCTCAGGTTACAGTCGGGGTCTCAGGATACAGTCGGGGTCTCACGATACAGTCGGGGTCTCAGGATACAGTCAAGGTCTCAGGATACAGTCGAAGTCTCAGGCTACAGTCGAGGTATTAGGCTACAGTCGGGGTCTCAGGCTACAGTCGGGGTCTCAGGATACAGTCGGGGTCTCAGGTTACAGTCGGGGTCTCAGGATACAGTCGGGGTCTCAGGATACAGTCGGGGTTTGGGCTATTGATACAATACACATTGAGGCCTTTCACATCGGGCGAACATTACAAAGTGCTCGACAGTCCAGGTTTGGCCCCCGAGCTGAGGGTGATGTTGGGTTGAGTTACAGTTGGTTTGGGATTGGATTATGGTTCGCCTTGTAGTGGCCTCTTCCTCCTCACTCTGGGCCTCTTCCTCCCCACTCTGGCCTCTCCTTCCTCACTATGGGCCTCGCCCTGCCCATCTGGGCCTCGCCCTCCCACTCTGGGCCTCTTCCTCCCACTCTGGGCCTCTCCTTCCTCACTATGGGCCTCGCCCTGCCCACTCTGGGCCTCGCCCTCCCCACTCTGGGCCTCTCCCTCCTCACTCTGGGCCTCGCCCTCCTCACTCTGGGCCTCTCCCTCCCCACTCTGGGCCTCTCCTTCCTCAGTACGGGCGTCTCCCTCCGCACTCTGGCCTCGCCCACCTCACTATGGGCCTCGCCCTCCACTCTGGCCCCTCTCCCTCACTTGGACCTCTCGCCCACTCTGGGCCTCTCCCTCCTCACTCTGGGCCTCTCCCTCCTCACTCTGGGCCTCTCCCTCCTCATTCTGGGCCTCGCCCTCCCCACTCTGGGCCTCGCCCTCCCCACTCTGGGCCTCGCCCTCCCACTCTGGGCCTCGCCCTCCCCACTCTGGGCCTCGCCCTCCCCACTCTGGGCCTCGCCCTCCCCACTCTGGGCCTCGCCCTCCCCACTCTGGGCCTCGCCCTCCCACTCTGGGCCTCGCCCTCCCACTCTGGGCCTCGCCCTCCCCACTCTGGGCCTCGCCCTCCCCACTCTGGGCCTCGCCCTCCCCACTCTGGGCCTCGCCCTCCCCACTCTGGGCCTCGTCCTTTGGAAGAGACGTAATCCCAGTCCAGGCTCTGGCTGTTCAGGGGGAAATGAAAGCTGCTGCGTCACTGGTGAAGAGAGGGAAGAGTCTCCTGGTGTCAAGGCCCACAGTCCCCCACATCACATTCATCTTCACGTCATGGCTGTCGCTGGGACCCCATTGTGTCAAATCCACTGATGTGTTGACGTACAAATCCAGTTCATTACACATTACTGAAGCTTTTTGAGACATTTAATGATATCAACACTGTATCAAAGGCAGCAATGATAATGATAATAACTGAGCCACTGGGTATTTGTTCCCAGTCCTGGACGGCTGCTTTAGTGTGGATCCCGTTACATTTCCCAGACGATAGGAACTCAATACATTACTCTGAATCTCTCCCATGTTTTGGTGCAATGAACAAACTCATTGTAAATCCCTTCCAGTCACTCCTGATATCAAACATAGGTTGACCCCGTGTTATGTTTAGAACTCTGAAGCTCGTGTACTGTCCCGCACCAGGCTTCGCGACCACATCACTCCAACCCTCGCCCTCGCTCACCTCCACTGGCTCCCCATCCCCCAGAGGATCCAATTCAAGATCCTCATCCTCACCTACAAGGCCATTCCCGGCCTCGCTCCCTCCTACCTCTCCGACCCACTATCCCCCACGTAGCTGCCCGTAACCTCCGTTCCTCTGGCTCCAGTCTGCTCCACGTCCCCCGCCCCTACCGCCCGACCATCGGTGGCCTTCAGCATCTCAGCCCCAAGGCTCTGGAACTCCATCCCCAGTGCCTTCGCCGCTTCCTCCCTTTCCTCCTTCAAGGCCGGTCTCAAGACCTTTCTCTTTGACCTTCACCCTTCAGCTCCCCTCTCGACTCTCTACCCCCTCCTCGTTCCCTCCCTTCCCTCCCCTTACCCTGACCATTCCCCCTCCTCGCTCCCTCCCTTCCCTCCCCTCACCCTGACCATTTCCCTCCAATGCTCGGGTCCTGACCCAACTGTACATCGCCTTGGGACGTCCTCCCGACGTGAAAGACGCTCTATAAATGGAATCTTGTTGTCTTTTTGTTGTTTAGGGTGTGTACCTACACACAGTGTGAGGTTAGGGTGTGTACCTACACACAGTGTGAGTTTAAGGTGTGTACCTACACACAGTGAGAGTTTAGGGTGTGTACCTACACACAGTGTGAGTTTAGGGTGTGTACCTACACACAGTGTGAGTTTAGGGTGTGTACCTACACACAGTGAGAGTTTAGGGTGTGTACCTACACACAGTGTGAGTTTAGGGTGTGTACCTACACACAGTGTGAGTTTAGGGTGTGTACCTACACACAGTGAGTTTAGTGTGTGTACCTACACACAGTGTGAGTTTAGGGTGTGTACCTACACACAGTGAGAGTTTAGTGTGTGTACCTACACACAGTGAGAGTTTAGGGTGTGTACCTACACACAGTGAGAGTTTAAGGTGTGTACCTACACACAGTGAGAGTTTAGGGTGTGTACCTACACACAGTGAGAGTTTAAGGTGTGTACCTACACACAGTGAGAGTTTAGTGTGTGTACCTACACAAAGCTCCTGAGGACATTTGAGGAGCTGAAATCTGACAGTAAAACCTGACACAGTATAAGTTTACTCACTGGTTATGTTCAGTCGGGTCCCGTTCCCACAGACATCTCCCTCCACACAGCATTGATAGACGGCAGCGTCACTGACTGTCACTCGTCTGAGTATCAGAATGTAGGTGTTATTGGAGGTGACTCTGGACGGCTGGAGACGCTGATTAACAACTTCGTGATCTGTTTTCCTTCCATTTGTATCATGTGTTAAAATCCACTCCCTCTGCTGTCCCGGGAGTTGTCGGTACCAGTGTACATCACTGTGGCTCACGTCTGCGTTCTTCATGGAGCACTGTAACCGGGCCGGGTGTCCCTCTGTGACACGTTCCAGGGTCGGGGACTGAATGAGGAGAGGAGCAGCCACACCTTTAAGGGACAAATCTCCGTCAGTTACAGTCCAGCCTGGAGGGAACAGTCCTACACTGATCACAGGCAATTAGTTTGTTTCAAATCAGTGACTAAACTAAATATTGTCACTAACATTACATTAAATTATAACAATTATATAATACATTTAATTGTATAATCCAACGTGAAGATTCTCCTCAATGGGACAGACCAAAGCTTTTATCTAATCCCGGGGAGTTTGGGGTAGGTATAGAGACCCAAGCCTTGGACTTTAACCAATGTGAGCACTGCCGACTGGCACTGCCGACACTTCCTGCTGCTTGTCCAGCTCGTATCACCGTGAGGTTACATATACTAAATTATAATAATAATCCTCGCATTTGATATAGCGCTTTTCACATCTTCTAGACGTCTCAAAATCCTTCACAGAATAGACTGTAAAGTTAATTGATGGTATATTTGTGGGCAAACAAGGCAGCTAATTGCGCAAAGCAGTGTCCCACAAACAGTCATAGATTGAAGTGACCAATTTATTTAATTTTTCTTGAGGGATTATTATCAGGCGTGTGGAGTACCTTAAATTTCCCAAGTCTTCGCCCGGCTGGGAATCAAACCCAGGTCTCTCGCTTGCGAGGCAAGTGCTCTAACCACTGAGCTGCCGGCCTCCTGCGTAGCTACATCATCCAGACCATCCAGAACCCTACAGTCCACGTCCTCTCCCGCACAAGGATCTGCGACACAATCACCCCATCCTCGCCCGACTCCACTGGCTTCCCATCACACAGAAGATGGAGTCCTGTACTCAATGGTTAGAGCACTCACCTTGCAAGCGAGACACCTGGGTTCAATTCCCGGCAGGTCAGGGCGAAACCTTGGGCAAGTGTCCTTACTCCACACACCTGATAGTAATCCCTCCAAAACAATAATAAATTGTTCTTTTGCGATCCACGACTGTTTGTGAGACACTGCTGTGCGCAATTGGCTGCCGCGTTTCACCCACAAATGTACAGTCAATTCACTTTACAGTGTATTCTGTACGTGGAGTCCTGCAGCTCAGTGGTTAGAGCACTCGCTTTGCAAGTGAGAGACCTGAGTTCTATTCCCGGGGGGTCAGGGCCAAACCTTGGGCAAGTTTCCTTACTCCACACAGAGCCTAATAATAATCCCTCCAAAACCAAAAATTGGTCATTTTCAATCTACGACTGTTTGTGGGACATTGCTGTGCGCAATTGGCTGCCGCGTTCGCCCACAGATATACAGTCAATTCACTTTACAGTGTGTTCTGTGAAGCGCTTTGGGACGTCCTCCAGACGTGAAAAGCGCTATATCAAATGCAAGGATTATTATTATTCTGTGAAATGCTTTGAGACGTCTGGAATACGTGACTATATCAAATGCAAGGATTATTATTATTATTAAATTATAGGATAAAGTTCAAGATCCTGTTCCTAACCTTCAAAGCCCTCCATGATCTTGTTCCCCACTACCTCGGCCACCTGCTAACTCCTGACCACCTGTTCACCCCCTCCACTCAGCGGGCTCTGGCTTGCTTCACGTCCCCCGCCTGGCTCACCCCAATATTGAGGTGTGCACCTTCTACCACTCTGCCCCCACCCTCTGGAACTCTATCTCGCTGTCCCTCCGCCTTACCCCCTCCCTCGACACCTTCAAGACCCAACTCAAGAGCCTTCTCTTCGAATGTGCTTTCGATCACCCAGATTCCCCCCCTTCCCTCCATCCTCCCACACCCTGACTCCCAGCTCGGGTCTGAAACTCTGTCTGTCCAGCCCCTTGGGACGTCCTCCTGACATGAAAGGCGCTATTCAAGTGTGATTTTGCTGGTGGTGTTGTAGCTATAGGACGTCTGTGGAACGACAGGATTCCTGTATAATATTATATAATGTTGTAACAGTGCTCTGGGGGACTGCAGACCCGTCTGCTTCAGAACCAGTACAATCAGATGCCAATCACATTGGTTATTTACCAGAGGTCTTACCTTGAGGCAAACTTCACTCCAAAGCTTTGCCCTTCCCTGGAGGTCTGACTGGTTCAGGATTGAGCAGGTTTGGGCACGGTTCCTGGTGCCTGGCTTGATAACAGGCACCAGGAACAAAAGGGGTGTAGAGGTGTTGGCAGGCAGGATAGATAGTTTGGTTATCATAGAACCATAGAATTATGCAGCACAGAAGGAGGCCATTCGGCCCATTGTGTCTGTGTTGGCTCTTTGAAAAGACCTATTCAATTCTCCCCCGCGCTCTCCCCAGAGCCCTGCACACCTGTCTCCCCCAAATAATTATCTACTTCTCTCACAAAAGTTATTAGCAAGTGTTTAAACTGGGCTCAGGGGTGGTTGGGGTAGTGTAAGACAGCACCCAACCAATTAGGGAAAACCTTAAAGCTTACAAGTGAAAACATAAACCCAAATATAACGGGTCTAACTCCAAAGGTTGGAGTAGAAGAAACAAAAAATGCTTATAAAGTAATTGGGAAAGGCATAAGACAATGGAGCTGTACTTGCATTAATACAAGAAGTCTGACAAGCAAGATGCGTGATCTGGAAGGCCTTGTAGGAGGTGACAGATTGGACATCATTAGCAACACAGAGATATGGTGGAATGACTCCAATCAATGGGATACACACCTGCAAAGTTATAAACTGTTCAGTAGGGACCGTATCAGGAGAAGAGGAGGTGGTGTGGCACGACATATAAACTCCATTAATGAGACACTAGTGAGTGAGGATATACAAAAGGAAAGGGCAGACACAGAATCACTTTGGGTAGAATTAAAAGATGGTAACGAGGTAAGCTATTACTGGGGTCTGCTATAGACTCCCAAGCCTGGGTGACAGCCTCAAAAAAAAGCTCCTGAGGACATTTGAGGAGCTGAAATCTGACAGTAAAATCTGGACACAGTATAAGTTTACTCACTGGTTACTTTGAGTCGGGTCCCGTTCCCACAGACATCTCCCCACACACAGCAGTGATAGACGGCAGCGTCACTGACTGTCACTCGTCTGAGTATCAGAATGTAGGTGTTATTGGAGGTGACTCTGGACGGCTGGAGACGCTGATTAACATCTTCGTGATCTGTTTTCCTTCCATTTGTATCATGTGTTAAAATCCACTCCTTATGCCGTCCCGGGAGTTGTCGGTACCAGTGTACATCGGTGCGGCTCACGTTGGCGTTCTTCATGGAGCACTGTAACCGGGCCGGGTGTCCCTCTGTGACACGTTCCAGGGTCGGGGACTGAATGAGGAGAGGATCAGCCGCACCTTTAAGGGACAAATCTCCGTCAGTTACAGTCCAGCCTGGAGGGAACAGTCCTACACTGATCACAGGCAATTAGTTTGTTTCAAATCAGTGACTAAACTAAATATCGTCACTAACATTATATTAAATTATAACAATTATATAATACATTTGATTGTATAATCCAACGTGAAGATTCTCCTCAATGGGACAGACCAAAGCTTTATCTAATCCCGGGGAGTTTGGGGTAGGTATAGAGACCCAAGCCTTGGACTTTAACCAATGTGAGCACTGCCGACTGGCACTGCCGACACTTCCTGCTGCTTGTCCAGCTCGTATCACCGTGAGGTTACATATACTAAATTATAATAATAATAATCCTTGCGTTTGATATAGAATACATCAACAACAACAACAACTTGGATTTATATAGCGTCCTCCACGCCGGACAGCGTCTCAGAGTGCTTTTCTATATCATTTCTATATCAACTGAGGCAATGGAGTGAAGAGCAACAGAGTGAGAATTCTGTTTGGGAATTAGGTGAGAGTGGGAATTAGGTGCAGGTGAGAACTTGTAAAAGAGAAACAAATCCCCCAAGAGCCTGCACAAAAGGTCACAGCCCTGTGGCGGTAGGTGTTGAGTGGGCGTTTAGTATATACGGAGTGTGAGCAAGCGAATAAAAGGTGTGAAATTACTTGTTTTTACCTACTTACCCCAAAACTGTTGAGACAAAACATGTCTGAAAACCTGGCAGGGCAGCTGAGACCCATTCCATGTACACTGTGTGCCATGTGGGAACTGCAGGATGGTTCATGTGTTCTGGACAAACACGTGTGTGTGTAGGAAGTACCCCCGGCAGCTTGAGCTGGAGCTCAGGGTCACTGAGCCTGAGGAGGGACTACAGTCACTACACAGGAAATGGGAGAACAAAGAATTTATGGATCGAACTTTTCAGGAGGTGGTCCCCCACAGCCACAGAGAGTTCAGGGGGTGGTCACCCCACAGCCACAGGGAGTAGGAGGTGGTCACCCCACAGCCACAAAGGGCTCAGAAGAAGGGTGAGTGGGTGACCATCCGATGTGGAGCAAAAAAAGAACAGGCAGAAATGCCCTAAGAGTGTGGCACTCACACACTGGTTCTCAGTACTGGATACCGGTGAGGACACCTCTGAGAGAAGAGTCCAAAGGTAACCGATGTTCAGGGGGACAAGGGGAGAAACACCAACGCTGCTGTTATCGGGGATACAAACAGTTAAAGGGACAGACAGGCGTATTTGCCATAAAGGCCGGGCTCGCGCCTGGTATGCTGCCTCCATGGGGTCGGGGTGCAGGACGTCACGGAACAGGTGCAAAATATCCTACAGGGGGGGAGAGAAAATCCGGAAGTTGTGGTCCACGTCGGGATCTATGATGTAGGTGATAAAAGGGCTGAGACCCCACAGGGAGAATATCAGAAGCTTGGGAAGAAGCTAAAGAGCAGGACCTCAACGGTGGTGATCTCGGGATTACTCCCAATGCCTTATACAACAACAACAACAACAAGATTCCATTTATAAAGCGCCTTTCACGTCAGGAGGACGTCCCAAGGAGCTGCACAGTTGGGTCATGACCCGAGCAGGGGGAAATGGTCAGGGTGAGGGGAGGGAAGGGAGGGAGCGAGGAGGGGGAAATGGTCAGGGTGAGGGAGGGAAGGGAGGGAGAGAGGAGGGGGAAGAGAGTCGAGAGGGGAGCTGAAGGCTCGGTCAAAGAGAAAGGTCTTGAGACCGGCCTTGAAGGAGGAAAGGGAGGAAGCGGCGAAGGCACTGGGGATGGAGTTCCAGAGCCTGGGGGCTGAGAGGCTGAAGGCCCGACCACCGATGGTAGGGCGGTTGGGGCGGGGGACGTGGAGCAGACCGGAGCCAGAGGAACGGAGGGTACGGGCAGGTAGGTAGGGGGATAGTAGGTCGGAGAGGTAGGAGGGAGCAAGGCCGTGAATGGCCTTGTAGGTGAGGATGAGGATCTTGAAATCAATCCTCTGGGTGATGGGGAGCCAGTGGAGGCGAGCGAGGGTGGGAGTGATGTGGTCCCGAAGCCTGGTGCGGGACAGTACACGAGCTGCAGAGTTCTGAATGACCTGCAGCTTGTGGAGGGAGGTGGCGGGAAGGCCGGCGAGGAGAGAGTTCCCGTAGTCCAGCCTTATACAAGTGAACACCAAACTGGGAGGATCAAACACATGAATGCCTGGCTGGAGAAATGGTGCAGGAAGGAGGGCTTCAGCTTTCTAAGCCACTGGGTCAAGTTCTGGGGCAGATGGGGCATGTGCACGAGGGATGGGTTTCACCTGAGCAGGGTTGGGACCAATGTCATTGCAACAAGGATAACAAATGCTGTTGGAAAGCATTTAAACTGATTTTGAGGGGGGATGGGGATCAGAATGAATGTCGAATTCAAGATCCTCATCCTCACCTACAAGGCCATTCACCCTGACCATTTCCCCCCAATGCTCGGGTCCTGACCCAACTGTACAGCGCCTTGGGACGTCTTCCCAACGTGAAAGGCGCTCTATAAATGGAATCTTGTTGTTGTAGCATCAGGGAGGGGAAACGAGTTACATATTGGATGAGGAGAGACAAACAGAAATGAAATAAGGAATAGTCCAGCAAACAGTGGAAAGAGATGGGGGAGAGATGTAAAGTGGATTAAGCCGATATTGGAGTACCTGTGTGTAAATGCACAGAGAGTGACGAATAATATTGGTGAGCTGCGACTCAAGGAGCCACATGGGGTTATGATGTAGTGGCAATTACGGAGACTTGGCTCAAGCAAGGACAGGAATGGGAGCTGAATATTCCTGGCTACATCCTATTCAGGAGGGATAGGGAAGGGAAAAAGGCAGGAGGGATGGCAATATTCATTAGGGACGCAGTCACAGTACTGGAACAGGACGATGTGTTAGTGGGTCCAAAAACTGAATCTATTTGGTTAGAGTTATGGAGCAGAAAAGGAGCTGTTACTGTTAGGTATTTACTATAGACCTCTAAATAGTGGGAAGGAGATAGATGAGCAAAATCTGCAGTAGATTTCGGAGAGATGCAAATCCAATAGAGTAGTGATAATGGGGGACTTCAATTATCCTCACATAGACTGGGAAACACAGCGTGTAAAGGGCAAGGAAGGGGAGGAATTCCTGAAATATGTGCAAGAGAACTTTCTGGATCAGTATGTTTCCAGCCCAACGAGGAAGGAAGCAGTGCTGGATTTAGTTCTGGGAAATGAAGTGGGGCAAGTGGAGCAGGTTTCAGCAGGAGAGCATCTGGACAACAGTGATCACAACATCATTAGGTTTAGAATAGTTATGGAAAAGGACCACAATCAATCAAAGGTAAAGGTAAAGACTCTCAATTGGAAGCGGGCTAACATCAGTGAGTTAAAAAGGGACCTGGCCAAGATAGACTGGAAAAAAAATTGGCAGGTAATACAGCAAACGAACAATGGGAAGCCTTTCAGGAGGAGATAGTTCGGGGACAGAGCAAATACATTCTCACAAAGGGGAAAGGTAGGACAGTCAAACCTCCCTGGATGACTAAGGAAATTGGGATTAAAATGAAACAGAAAAAAGAGGCTTATGACAAATGTCAGGTCCAAAACACACAGGATAGTCAAATAGAATGTAGGAAGTACAGAGGAGAAGTGAAAAGGGAAATAAGAGGGGTGAAGAGATTGCTATAGACTCCCAAGCCTGGGTGACGGCCTCGATCTGGAACTGTGGCATGAGATAAGGAAGGTGACCAGCAAGGGACCAACCACAGTAGTTGGAGATTTTAAACTTACCGGAGATTGACTGGGATAGCCATGTGTCTGCTGGTGAAACAGGGAAGGGGTTTCTCGAGTTAAGGGAAGGCTGTTTTATGACTCAGTTTGTATAGAGCCAACAAAGGGAGATAACATCTTGGATTTAATAATGAGCAACAGATGATCAAATCTTCACCATTAGACATCACAGAACAGGTGTGAAACCTTCTATAGGGGGAAGGGGAACATCCAGAAGTCGGGGTCCATGTTGGCATCCATGATGTAGGGGCAAAAATGGCCTGAGATCCTACAGGGAGAGTATCAGAAGTTAGGGAAAAAGCTAAAGAGTAGGACCTCAAAGGTGGTGATCTCTGGATTACTCCCAGAGCCTCGTGCAAGTGAGTTCGGGAGCGGAGTCAAGGAGGAGGAGTGGAGCTGAGGCCTAGCAGCGGGTATTAAAACCCCACGAGGTGAGGGGTGTCGCACATCTACAAAAGTGATTTTGGCATGACGTCATAACTAAAAAATGGCCTGGCAGCCCCGGTCACTGCCATCCCAGCCATCACCACACAGCCTGAGGGCTGATGCCAACCCACTTATTGCTCGCTCCCGGTCTCTGTGTGCTCCCCGCCCGAGCCTCCCCCTCCACTCTAAATGTCTCTCCTCCCACCCCTCAATGTCTCTCCTCCCACCCCCCTCTATCCGCTACTCCCCTCTGACCTTCTCTCCCACCGCCCTCCCCGCCTTCTCTCTCTCCACGACCCCATCACCGCTGCCCTCTGCTCCAGCCTCGGCATCCTCCACCGGGCTCTTCGTGGCTCCCGGCACTGGCTGTCCCAGAGCAGCCACCCCACGTGTCCCATTACTCACTCCCTCCGCTCAAACCGCCTCCTTAAGGCAAACACAACTTCCCCCTCCATCATACGTAGACCTCCACAACTCTCCATTCACACCACTCTCTACAGCCATCTCCCTGTACGCCCCCAAATCCTCTCCGCATCACTCTCTCCTCCCTTTCCTCACCACCAGCAAACCCACCCGCATTTCCTTTCAAAATGTCCGTTCCCTCTCTAACAAAGCCCTCACCACCCATGACCTCATCCTGGATGATCACCTCGACATTCTTGGGTTCATCGAAACATGGCTCTCCCCCAATGTCCCCTTCCCCCGAGTTGAAGCCTCCCCTCCAGGCTACACCTTCACCACACCCCCCGGCCAAATCAACATGGTGGCGGGGTAGACCTCATCTCCA